GAGAGATCTGGAAGAAAATCTATGAAGAAAGTAAAAGAAATGATAACATCATTGAGTGTCTATATGTGGCTTTTTAGGAACCTTTTACTAAGCATTGCTTTGTACTCCTTGCATCCTTTTTCTCTTAAACCATTGTTTCCTTTCTTCCCTTCATCATTTTTATAAGTTGCAAAAATCCAGCGCTTTCCTTATCTCAAGATTGACACAGTGGAAATTGTGTAGGGAAAGAGGGCAGTAAGAAAAAAGAATTCCTCTCCACTGGATTCAGAAGAAACTCCATATTTACAGGCCCTTTGAGGCATAAGATAAAATAAAAAATAGAAAATGCTTTCCCTCTTAATAAAGGTCTTTATAATAAAATTTAAATGTTTTGTGTTTTGTATTGTCAGTGTTCAAAATAAAGTTGTAGATGCTAAAATACGCTTATAGGTATTTCCACAATTAAAAAACCTTTTGGATTTAACTTAAATATTTCCAAACTTAAATTTCTATCAATTCAGCATTTATTACCAACGTATTACATCATTTCAAAATTCAATTGTGAAAACTTCCTTAGAATCTGTAGTTGATGTCTGTTTGATGGCCCTATGAAGATGAAAAGTTTCATTATCAACATTTTGACACCTAGGGAAGACAATGATGTCTATACTTTGTTCCCTAGACCTACAACTTTGCTCTGTCTTGAGGAGAAACCCAAATGCATGGGAACTATGTGTCCCTCTACTTAATTTGGACCTGGTTTCTTCTGTGTGCAATCAGTAGAGTCAAAGTGGCATGTTTGTGCATGGTGTGGTGTGAGGGGTGGGAATGTGAGCTTTTGATTAAAAAAGCTCTTGACTCGAATCACTCATACATGGGAGAGTAGACCATGAAGGTCAACTTCATGGGTGGGGGGAGGGGAGTGCGTGGGGATAAAAATGGAGTTAATGATCAATCATGCCTTCTTGATGAACTCTCCATAAAAATCCCTGAAGTTCAAGATTCAGAAAGCTTCAGGGTTAGTGACCACATGGATGTCATGGAGAGTGGCTCTCTTGGAGAGAGCACTGAAGCTCCATGCTTTTTCCCACATACCTTACCCTATGCTTCCTTTCCATCCGGATGTTCATCTGTATCCATTATCATATCCTTTTATAATAAATGGGTAAACAGTAAGTAAACTGTTTTCCTTGAGTCTTGTGAGTCACTCTACTAAAGTCATCAAACCCAAGGAGGGGGTCATGGGAACTTCTGATTGATAGCTGATTGGTCAGAAGCACAGTTAAAACCCTGGGCTTTCAATTGGCATCTCAAGTGGTTTTCCTGTTCTTGGGGCAGTGCCAGCAGTCTTGTGGGGTTGAGCCCTTAGCCTATGGGATCTGATGCTATCTCCAGGGAGATACTGTCAGAATTGAGTTAGATTGTAGGACACCCAGCTGGTGTGACAGAATTGCTTGAGTTTTTTCCTAGCTCAGGTGGGAATGTGAGCTGTTAGTTCAAAAAAAAAGCTCTTAACCTCAATCACTCATACATGAAGAGTAGACCGTGAAGATCATCTCAGTGTGATCTGAAAAAAATATTCTCCTTATGATGTTCCACCCAAGGCCCATCACATATGAAAGGGGAGCAGTTCTCCCAAGAAAAACTTGGGGGAAGATGAATAGCTAAACCAATGAGTAAATCTTGTTAATTTGGGAGATAAAAATAGTAGAGAGGCATTATATTATTTTTCATTTTATAGGACATTCAACTTTACATCATGGCTAAGTTTACTAATTTATTTGTCCATCCATTCACTTGTATATTACTCAACAAAGACATATAAGCAGAGTAAAGCTCTATGCTATATATTATGTAAAGCTGACATGTAAGAACAAATTACTTAAAATAGTTTCTGTTTTAGATGTGTTCTAGTCTTCTAGAGCAGTATTTCCAACTTTGGTCAGTGGAGTTACCCTAGACACTTTGAAAAATACTCATGCCTGGGCTTCTCCCCCACAGATTCTGTTTCAATCCATTTAGGGTAGGATCTGGGCATAGAAGTTTTTAAAAGCTGTCCAGTGGTTTATCACTTGCAAGAAAGGTTGAGAACCAGTGGTCTAGGAGGAAAGATAAACATGGACACAAAGGGAACATTAAAAGTACAAAATTTTCGTGTGAGCGAATTTCCTGGCTGGGTTGTTATTTTGTGTTGCCTCTCACAGGGGGACATAGAGCGTCACCACTCCAGGTCCCCATCATCTGCACTACCTTTACAGAGACTTAGTGTGGCAATTGACTCAGTTATTCTAACAAAACAGGAATGAATTGCTGTAGAGACCCAAATTACAATTTGGTCATCTAAACTAGGAACTCTCATTACCAAAAAATGTGTGTCCATGAACAAAACATCTCCTTACTAGTGCTGATGTAAAAGAGTTGACAGCTATCCTTTCTGAAATGCATACTATGTCCTGGACCTAGTCATAATTTCTTTACATTTCATTTCACTTTCTTATTTAATTTTACAAGTTACATTGGAAACCCTAACCACTAATTACAAACCACACTTAGCATCTCATTTTGTTCCCTCAACACTACCCATCTTCATTTTAATTATAGTTTCATAATTGTTGTGTTTTCAAATTTGCACTTGTTTCCATTGACCACATTTTATGTTTACCGATTCTTTGCACTGTGGACGTAAGTCCTAAACCTTGTAGTAATGTCTCCAAACTACACACAGAATGTTCTGCATTAGGGAAAATATCCTTTACACAGTCAATCCTATCCATGACTTATAAGAGTCTTATAAAAATCATTCAACAACAACAATAAAATGGCACTTCTTGAGGGGTATTTTTGGTTAACTTTTGGAGTTAATTTTCTTTAAGGGTTAATAGCCCTCTCTATATTGACAATGGGGATGAAAGATCTTATAGAAGGATTTATTCTGAAATGCCAAATATTGAAACTAAAATCAAAGCATGCTATATTTTATAACAAAATTAATATCAGTCCTTCACTGGCCTCCTCTTCTTTAAGGGTGAGCTTTCCAGTAATAGCTGATACCTCAGCGTCTCTTGTAGAAGGAAACCTCATTCTTTTAAAATACCATTCATTTGAACACCTCGTATGGGCCACCTTGTATTATAAGCCATTTTGTTATGCATGTGTTTACAGGTTTACCTTCCTAACAAGATTATGGCTGAAATAGGTATGTCTTTTTTTTCCTTACTGCCTAATCAACGCTGAATCCTACCCGTCTTCAAGACTCTAGAAACATCATCAATGGCTTTGATAGGAACGTTTACATTTTCTCAATTTACCAGTTAGAATTTACTGCTGTCCAGAGGTTTGGTTTTTTTTTTTAATAGTTTTCTAAAGTAATTTAAATGTAAAATAGAATGATATGCAATCCATAATATAATGCAGTGGGAGAACAGAGAGTACTGAAGTTTATTTCCTGGGGAGACTAGTGAGAAATGACTAGATTGTAAGTCTTTCAACCAGAAAATAAAGGATTTCAGAATGATGAGGAAAGTTTGAAGGAAATGATATAGGGTCCACAGATACCTCACATGGTACTAAATGACTCATAAAATGCAGTATTTTTTTACATAATATGGGAAGGGGGCCAAAACCTGCACATCTTACCATTGAGTGTGGGACAGCACTGTGATCTTTAACAATATACAACATTTGTGGCATAATAGCCATAATGGGACTCTTCAGCTATTTTACACAGCAATAATCCAGTCCTCTCTCATCAGGATAAACTGTGAGGACAAATCCTTTCAAAAGCAGAATTAGTTCCTTGGAAAAGAGCGAGGCCACAATTATCCCTTAAGTAGGAGCAGCTGCAACAGGGGATCGGCCTGGAGCGTGGCCGTGAAGTGTTTCTCCCAAGCAATTAAAGGGATTTTTTTAATGCAAACTAATATTCTATAAAAAGTCACTGGGAAGGTGAGTAGGTGTGGAACTGCTGAGATGAAAGGAACAGTCCTTTCGCTTTACCTGAGTTAATATTCCTGCTCTAGTAAATGCTATTTTGGTGAAAATGGACAATCGAGGCTCACCCGTTCCCATGAAGTGGGGCCCGAAAGGGACCCGGAGTAATACAAAGGAAAGATAATTCTGGCTTACTTGTACACTCGGTCTTATCTTGAACTCTGTCCATAGCTGTGTTTTGTTATTGTTGGTTTTCAAAAAGACATGATGAGTCAACAGGAACACTTCAATTTAAACTGGGAAGGTATCACTTGGGTGGAAACATAAACATAACCCACAGGACTGAGGCCAGTCAGTACCTCGTCTAGAGTGAGACAAAAAGGGATGAGAACTTAGTTTTTTTTTTTTTACCACAGAGATGATTAAAGGATTGGGAAAATAAGACCTTTAAGAAAGATTAAAGGACCTGACTGGAGGGGGCATATTAAGAGGGGGCAATGTAATATCCTCAAATTGTGTATCTCAAGAGTTCTTTGACAAACAGCTAGAGAACACCTCCACTGAAGAAACAACCTAAGAAATTCGATGTAATACTAGAGCATTGAGGATTTAGTCACACAGGGAAAGAATTTTCCCCCAGGGATCTTGAATGTACTGCCAAAGGAGCGTGTGGGCTCTCCATAGGACTGGGTGTAACATCTCTGCCCCCAATAAAAGTTTGTCAGGTCACATGACCCAAGCACCCAGGGATACCCCTCTTCTTGAAATACACCTTCCTTCTAATATGATCCAGTGGGCAGAGGGTTCAAACTTAGCTCTAATTATCTAAAGGGTTTCTTGTGCTCACAAATTTTGGATAGCATAAAATGAAGTTCATCCAGACAGAGACCCAAGACATCTCTTGCTTTAGAGTCGAAAAATGCTTTCTTTTACATTAGATTTGTCCCTGTATATTTTCAAGAACTTTGGTAACAAAGAAAAACAGCAAACACCTGATCTTGCGGGCAAATTTAAGACATGTTATAAAACCGGGAATTAAAATGTTTAAATTAAATATTGAAACTTGGAGTTAACTAGGAGTTAAACTATTGAATACATTTTTAGAATGTTACTTTCGTAAAAGGATACTCTCACGTGGTAAGGATGGCCTTATAGGACCATCTTAGAGCCAAAGATGAAAGAAAAGGAATCCTCCCTGCTTGATAATAATGTGTTTTAATGTGTAGCCTTCAATTCACTAATTCAAAAATCATACATTTCGAAGACACCAAGAGACTCTTCAGCTCCCACTCAGGCTGATGGTTGCTACTGACTCCCCACTCGTCCCATGAAATCTTCCAGGGCTGATTAGGTAAGTGATTTTGTACCCTCGCCCTGCACAATTTCCAGTACAGTTCCTGATCTCTGCCCTGATTAGGTACTCACTGCTTCCTTCCACTACAAATCCACTTATGCTTGACCTTCACGTAATGCAATTACTTGACTATCCATGGATTGCTTTAATGTTTCCATTTTGTTCCTAATGGTGCTCCAATATGTCTGTCTGTATGAATGTGTTTGATGCTGATGAGAAGTTCCTAGAAAGAAGAGATGGAATCTCTCTGAATAGAACTGATGGCCCCAAATATCATCATTTCCTTAAACAGTGCTCTTTGCAAGAAGACAACTTAACTTAGCTATTTCCTCTTTGTCTCCGAAGGAGTTAACTTAGGAAGCTACTGGAAAAAATTCAAGATATCATAATATGTAAACACTTCCACTCCACTGTGACAGGTTGGGAAAAGTTACAATAGTATTGCATTCTCTATGGTGCCTCAGCTGTATAATTAGGGTCTAATGCCATTTTTAATTAAGGACACCATTATTAAGGGCCCTCTATATGTTGGGTGTCTTACATAACAATATATGTTGGTGGTTGTTGCTCCTCTGCTCCCCACTCCCTTGGATGCTTTACTCATTTGTGTTTTCTGTGTGGCCTCTAAGCATTTATAACCTCTAGAAGAGAAATTTACCAGAGAATGAATGGAGAGAATAGCATTTAATCGGAGCGAAGAGGATTAACAAAGTCAAAGAGGCTTTTAAAGACAAAGAAAAGTTTGGGAACAACCAGAACAAGCGATCGGTATTTGGGGCGGTTTTTGAGGTGCCAGGGTGGGGGTAGGGGAAGGACGGTGGGACAGCGAGGAGACCCAGAGGGTGAGTTTAGATCGCCGAAACTGTTTGTCTGAGAGCTGGAACTTTATCTTGAAGATATTGAGGCGTCTTGAAGGGTCTTCATATAGGACTTGACCCCAAACCCTTTGTGTTGTAATATTTTATGGACAATGAGATTTTCATGTAGTGTTTCCATTACAGTAAGGTTTTCATAAGTAACCAGAGGAGTTTGTTACCAAAGGAGAAACCAGTTCCTCCTTTGTCTGAGTTATTAATCTGCCATTTTAGTAGCTATAGCTTATAAATATGCCCAGGAAAATATTAAACTGGACAGTGTGATCATCTGTGATCTACCTCTTTCTCCAGCCTCGTGTTTTCTCAACTTCAGAATATCTCACCTCTTTTCATACATTTGTCACTAGTATATCTTCTTTGATGGAGAGCCTGCTAAAAGCTTTGCCTTTGTAAGATCAGGTTGTTTGTCCACTTATTGCTGAGTATATTCTGGATGTAAGTCCTTTATCAGAGTCTATAAAAAAAAAGTAATAAGTAAGTTTAGAAAGGTTGCAGGATACCAGATCAGTATGAAATAAATTCTATTTCTTTATGCAAGCAACAAACAATTGGACATTTTTAAATAAAGATTTTATTATTTGAGAGAGACAGAGCACGGATGTGTGAGGGGCAAAAGTAGAGGGACAGCAGACTCCCTGATGAGCAGGGAGCCCAACTCAGGGCTCAGTCCCAGGAGCCTGAGATCATAATCTGAGCCAAAGTCAGACACCTAACTGACTGAGCCACCCAAGTACCCCAACAGTGGGACATTTTAAAAAATTATTTATAATAACATCAAAAATATGAAATTCTTAGGCATAAATCCCACAAAATATATAAAACCTATGCACTAAAAATTCCAAAAACAATGCTGAGTGAAATTAAAGCAGACCTAAAGAAATGGAGAGCTATACCAAGTTCATAGTATGAAGGCTTTAATATCATTAAGATATTGTCTGCTCAAAATAATCTGTAGATTCAATGAAATCCCAATAAAAGTTTTAGGCTTTTTTTTTTATTGAAAATAAGAAGCTTACTTTAACATTTTTATGGAAATACAAAGGACCAAAACAAATTTGGAAAAGAATAAAGTTGGAAAAAATTTGTACAACTTGCTTTAAGACTTCCAGTAAAGCTACAGTAATGAAGACCACATGATATTGGCATAAGGATAGGCATATAAATCAACTGAACAAAAGAGAAGTCTGAAATAGACCCATAAATACATAGTTAATTGATTTTCAACAAAAGTGACAAGGTAATTCAATGGGAAAATGATTGTTTTTCAACAAATTCTGTTGGAACAATTAGATACCCTAATGAAAAAATAAACTCTTACTTCACACCATATACAAAAGCTAACTCTAAACAGAGCATAGACTTAAATTTAAGAGCTAAAACTATAAAAATAATACAAGAAAATATAGGATAAAATCACGACTTGGATTACACAAAGCTTCTTTAGGACACAAAATGCAATTTGCTAAATTGAATTTTAGAAAAATTAAAACCTTGCTTTTCAGAAGTCATTGTTAATGAAATGAAAATGTATTCCACACGCTGGGAGAAAATGACAAATTACTTGTAACCCTTATGTTTTTAATATTCCTCTGCCTTTGTTCCTGCTGTTTCTTCTACCCAGCATCCCCTTCCCCTTGGTATCTATCATCGGCACGCAGAGGTTCTATTCTCTTTTAGATTCAGATCAGGCATTGGATTGTTATTCTCTTCAGGACAACCTTGCAGACTCTCCAACTGGCACATTCCAGGCTGGTCAAAACATCTATCACATTCTACCTTCCTGGTCAATTTACATGTCTGTTTTCTATAATAAATAATTAGCTCCTTGAGGTCAAAGACAATATTTGTTATGCTTTGTTAGGTTCTTGGCCAACTTTTCCATGCCCTGAACCCTTTTCCCCCAACAAAACAACTTTTGACATTGCCCCCCCATCCAGATATGGCTCTATCACCTCCCACCCTATTAATACTAAACTTCTTAAAATGATTCCCAATCTCTTCTTCTTCACCCTCCCATTTATTCTTCATCCCACAGCAATCTGGATTTCTGTTTCTGAAATATTTTCTATTGAAACTGTCCTTTCTAAGACTCCCATTGAATGTATACCAGACCCTTTCACTGGGCACACTTTATTTCTCACATTACTTGACTTTCTTGGAGTTTTATAAATTGTTTCCTTGTTAGACTGTGAAGTCTTTAAGTGAAGGGATCCTGCCTTATATTTGTCTTTGTAGATAGACAGCTGGGGAGCTTCTACATGAAGAGAACAAAGAGGTAAAGAGAACAGCATGACAAGAAACAGAGAAATAAGAGAAACCAAGGGAACACGGAGTCCTAGATTCCAAGGAGGAATGTTCTCCAGGAGGGAATGGTAGACATTTATCTGTTTCCTCATTCAATCAATCATCCACACAACAGATACCACACTTGAGAGTGCTTACTCATTGCCAGACACAGTGCTGGGTTCCAAGTCCACAAAAGCTTTTCTATACCCTCTCCTGGATGATTATCTCCTTCCATAGCTCCAACTACAACTTATTTTCTAATCCCTGTCAAATCTATGTCCCTTTTCTTCTGACTCCCAGGTGCCTATTTCTAACCGTCTACCAGCTATATCTGGCTGTATTTCTCCAGTCACTGGAACTCATAATATACACATTAATGTCGGGGCACCTGGGTGGTTGGGTCAGTTAAGTGTCTGCCTGCAGCTCAGATCATGATCCTAGGGTCCTATGATTGAGCCCTGAGTCAGAGTCCGGCTCCCTGCTCCCCAGCTCCCTCTGCCCCTCCCCCCTACTCATGCTCTCCCTCTCAAATAAATAAATAAAATCGTAAATAGTACACACATAAATCTTGATAAATGCAATACACATATAAATAGTTTTCTCCTGGAATGCATATCTCATTTAATAGTTACACTCAATCGCATAGTTAACAATAGGTCTCATCCTTTGTCATTTCTTACCCGGACTATTGCTTTTATCAAGTCTCTTACCGATTCTCCTTACCTACAATTCGGCATCTACATACCCACCATGTCTGTCAACCTAGCAGATACTTGGGAGCACACCACTGCCCCACTTAAATGCCTCCAAGAGCTTTTGTGTTACCCAAACACATCAAACCATTTGCTCTCCAGCAATTAGCTGCTTGTGCTTGTCTTAATTTCAAGCATTTGCACCTACTGTTCCCTCAGTCTAGAGAGAACATGCTCACTACCACATATTCACATGATAGCTCCTATTACCTTCAAGACTCAAATCAAATATTCCTTCAGTCAAGCTGTGCTAAGCCCTCCTCCTCCACCAAGGCACAATGTGTAGCCCTTCATTACTGTGCTGTAATGATGATTTGTTCATAAGCTCTTCTCGCATTCTAGATTATATCTCAATCACCCTTGTACTTCTAACATCTGCTTTAAAGACAAGCACAAAAAGCTCGTTTTGAAAGGGCAAGTTTTTTTTCTGATTTTGATGTAACCAGCTTCTATTAGGTGTTATTTGGGAATAGTGTCATATATTTTATAGTGAATACAGTAGTTTAAAAAAAGATTTAGCCACTTCCTTAAGCAGTGGTTTATCTCTCCCTCAGAGAAAACCAGAATGAGTTTTTTAATAAAATGATTGAAAAGGTACACTGAATCTTCAATTTAATTATTTCAATTCCTGCAAAAAAAAAAGGTCTTTCAGAGAAGCTGCCTCTTGGTAAAATGTGATAAAGTTCCAACACATTCTTAAAAATTGTAAATTAATTTATAAATTTCCATTCAAAGTTTAATCCGCTATTTTCACATAAGAAAACTCATAATGTTGCTTCCTATTGATTCAGTATCTTTGCATCTAGAGTTTAAGCCAATATTTCATCTCTTTCTAGAAGCTTCCAGAGGCACTTGGTGCATATCAGTGAAATGTTGCCCATTTTTATTGCTTTTGGAGTTAAGTAAGGACTCCACACCCAGCATTCCAGATCTTTAATATATTAAATTCTAGTCTTAATTCTCTCAGGGTCTGTGTATCTACTGGAGCAGATCAGTTCATGTTCTTTTAGCATGCCCTGTCTTTTTCTAGCTTCTACAAGGCCCAGCCCTGCCTTCCACTTCCTCCTGCCACCATCACTACCCTCTCTCTCTTCCTGAAACTCCTCCCAGTCCTTCCTACCCGATCTGGGCTTTCCCCATTCTCCTTCCCTGAACAATTATTGGTGATTCTTTCATTCTTTCATGGGACTTCTTACATTTCACCCTGTGCTACGGTTATATACGTGTGTGTGTTTGATCCTCTTATTCTCTCTTCTCAACAAGCTGTTGGGGCAGTCCTCCCATGTCCTGTTCATTTCTGAGGCTCTGCAATGCCAAGCATAATTTCTGAAACATAACAAGTACTCAGTAATTATTTGTTTAGTTGAATTGAGTGCAAATAAATTTAAACAGCTTTCTCTTAACTGTGTGTTGACAAAATAATTCTAACAAGTTCATAATCACAGGAAGCAGTAGAGCCAGGATTTGAACACGGCAGTTTACAGCACTTTAAATCCCAGGACTTTGTTGCCTCTCCAATAAACAGAATATGCACTGCAAGATTATTGGTCCAGCTATATAGTTTAGCTCTAACCACTAAAACCTAAAAATTGTCCTAATAAGACTGAATGTTTTCTGCTTAACAGTGTGTGGGGAAAAAAAAGATTTTATTCTTTCTGTGACATAAGTTTCAAATGGAAGCATATGGGAGCATATGCCTTTTAAAGAATATTCCTTTAATACATTTATTATGACCTCATCATCTGTTGTCTATCTGAATTTTTTTTCAGGATCTGTAAGATACGGATGTAGAGACACAGAGAGGTAATGACATTTACTGTATACTATTGGATAGTGCATCCCTGACTTGAAGACCTAGACTCCTGAGCACTCATCAATGGCTCCAAGGTGGCAAAGGTGGGTTTAAAGCCAAGGATGTGGGGTTTGTAATAGACCTGGCTTAGAACTCAGTGGTTTATTCTGGATCTTTGGGCTTCGAGAAGCTGGAAGAAGTAAGGGAGCTGCAAAACATCTTTTTCATCTCAGTGTTGGGAATTGAAAATCCAAAAAGGGAGTCTGAACACTAACACTAACTTAATCTGTCCCCACATAAAGTAACTGCTTGTTCTAATTGAAAGCAGTGTTGTATTAAATTTTAGAACCCAAGGAAGAACTGGCTGAAGCAATGAGATGGCACTGAATGTCCTTCTGCATTTGGGGATACATTTGAATTCTTTTTCTTTCATGGCTGGGCTCTTTCTGGGGAACAGGAGTGGGAGAAAGTCTCTTTCTGCAATGTCCTTTAACAGCTGTGTCAAAATTCTCCTGAGCTGCCTGCAATTCTTCTGTCTTTGCAGTTGAGTTGACTCTTCCCATGTGAGTTTCAAGGCCCTGGGCATTTCCCCACCATCTTCTTGGATGAAACTTCTTTGTCACTGCAGCAGCTCCTCTGTTAAGAATATCTCAAGTAGGTATTCTACTTTACAGGCAGTGTAAAATTTCCTTTCTAAAATATTTTGAGAATGTGAGGTTCTGGCAGGATATAGAGGCTACAAATCAGATTAAATAATTCCCACTGCCAAGTGATCAGACAGAAAAAGAATTGTACAGAAAGGAAAACTCCCGACCTCGTTGGCCGTTGCCTTTGTTGGCTGCCTTCTGAGGGGTCCAGTTCCAATGGTCATAAAGTGCTAGCTCTGTGGCTATTTGGAGGGATGTTGGCCTCCCGCTCCAGGCCAAGAAAGATCACACCAACACAACTTCAGCAAGTAAGTGTGCCCTTATATTTGGTCTATGGGCACCAAAGAATATGTAGATCTAAGGTTTCATTTATCTGGATAATTAAATAAGCCTGGAAGAATATATTAAAGAAAATTTCTTTTTACCCCCTCTTTTTTAGATGACACTATTTGGCTTTGCTCTCCTTACCTTGAAACTACCCCAATGCAAGCAACAATTTCTGCCAAGGAAGTAGAAAAAAAAAATGCTTCTATACTCTTGGCTAGTGTGTGCTTGCTGGTAGGGGAGACCACAGTGTGGGGATTACAAACCCTTGTTCTAGGACGGGAGCCACGTCTGTGCTTGTCAGGGGCTGAGCCGCGATCAGCGTCTGCACAGCGGTCCGGGGGTTGCTAGGAAGATGGCGCGCTCGGTGGCCGGCCGAGGAGGAGGGCGCAGGGGTGGGGGAGCCCGGCTCTCTGGCCCGAGACCGACTGAGGGAGTGACCTGCGCGGGGCCTGGGGAGCCATGTAGGGGTGGCGCCTACGGGGCGGGCTGCGGGAGGGCGGCGGGAGTTGGTGTTGGCGACCGTGACCACGGTCTCCTGGCGTTGCCGGGCCCGGGTGGGTGTGGGGGTCCCTGACACCACCGACTCCGCGCCATGGCAAAGCTGCGCGCTCGGGCTCCACGGGCGCCCTGCGAGGTGCGCGCTGCTTTCTCGTCTCACGGGCAGAGAGATGAAGCCACTTGTCCAAGGTCATACAGCTGGTGGGTGGGAGGGCCCAGCATGGAACCCAGGACCGCCAGGCTGCCGAGCTCACGTTCCACCCTCCTGGCCGCTGCCACCTCCTGCGGGAGGGGGAGGTGGTCGGGAGGGCGTATCGACGGGGCAAGCGGGGCTCCAGGCTGGGCACGACCACGGGCCCGATTCGTGACCTCGGGCTTAACCTCTTTTCCTCTCGGGGCCTTGGTTTCTCCAGCTGTGAAATCGAGGTAGCGCCAGCCCTGCCTACCACCTCAGAGGCGCATACCGAGCCTCCGAGGTGATACGTAGTGCATGTGGACTTGCTTTGTAAATATCACTGGGCTGAGGACACGGAAGGTGCTGTTTCAAAGGATGGAAGGAGGCGAGAGAGGGGCGGGGTGGGGAAGAAGACCAGAGCAGTCACAAAGAAAGTTGAGCACGAGTGGGTTGCTCTGAGCCCAGGGCCCTGTGAATGGGGAGTGAGGTCGGGAGTAGATAGCCGGTTTTTCTCCCCTTTGGAGAAAACCTCACCTCCTTTTCTGGGCTGACCCTCAGGGTTTCCATCACCCAACTCCATGCTTCGAGTCCTGCTCTCTGCCCAGGCCTCCGCTGCTCGGCTGTCTGGCCTGCTGCTGCTCCCGCCAGTACAGCCCTGCTATCTGGGGCCCAGCAAGTGGGGGGACCGGCCTCCTGGAGGAGGCCTCCATGCAGGCCCTGTGCAAGGGCTACAGCAGCTTCTGGAACAGGCGAGGAGCCCTGGGGAGCTGCTGCGTTGGCTCGGCCAGAACCCAACCAAGGTGCGCGCCCATCACTACCCTGTGGCACTTCGTCATCTGGGCCAGCTCTTGGGGTCTCAGCCACGGCCCCCTCCCATGGGGCAGGCCACACTACAGGACTTGAGTCAGCTCATCATCCGAAACTACCCCTCCTTTGATTCACAACATCCACGTGTGTCTGCACCTTGCAGTCTTACTTGGCTTCCCATCAGATGGGCCCCTGATTTGTGCGCTGGAGCAGGAGAGAAGGTTCTACCTCCCTACGAAGCCACCTCCCACTCTGCCCCCTGGCCTGCGCAGTGGGCAAAGATTGGAAGCTGCTCTGAGCTGCCTTCCGTTTCCTGAGGCGTCTGCCGCAGCACCTCATCCGCAGCCTGGCAGAGACCAGGCCAGGGGAACTGACTCCCCACATGATGGTGCTCCTGGCCCCGCACCTGGCCCGGCACTGGTTGCGGGAGCCCCAGCTTCTGGAAGCCATTGCCCACTTCCTGGTCGTCCAGGAAGCCCAGCTCAGCAGCAAGGTGGTACAGAAGTTGGTCCTGCCCTTTGGGCGGCTGAACTACTTGCCCCTGGAACAGCAGTTTATGCCCTGCCTTGAGAGTATCCTGGCCCGGGAAGCACGGCTGGCTCCCCTGGCTACTGTCAACATCTTGATGTCACTGTGCCAGCTTCAGTGCCTGACCTTCAGAGCCCTGCACTTTGTCTTTTCCCCAAGTTTCATCAGCCACATCAGCGGCACCCCTCATGCCCTGATTGTGCGGCCCTACCTCTCCCTGCTAGACACGGCTGTGGAGCTGGAGCTTCCAGGATACCGGGGTCCCCGCCTTCCCCGAAGGCAGCAAGTGCCCATCTTCCCCCAGCCACTCATCACTCATAGAGGATCCTTGCAGCGTGCCCGCTGCAAGTATAGTCATAAGGATATAGTGGCGGAAGGGGCTGCGCCAGCTGCTAGGGGAGGAAAAGTACCGACAGAACCTGACTGTGCCTCCAGGCTACTGCACAGCTCTGGTGCCGTGCTTCCTGTGAGGACCCAGGACCCCTTCCTACCCTAACCTCCCAGGTCCTGTCCCCAGGGCCAGGCTGCCTCTCAGTCCACCACCCACAACCCTGCCCAGAGGGTGGTGCTGATGCTGCGGGAATGTTGGCATTTCTGCCAGGATGGCCGAGTGCTGCTGGGCTCCCGGGCCCTACGGGAGTGGCACCTGGGCCCGCTGGGCTACCAGCTCCTGCCACTACCCTTCGAGGAACTGGAGTCACAGAGAAGCCTGCCCCAGCTCAAGAGCTACCTGAGGCAGAAGCTCCAGGCCTTGGGCCTCCACTGGGGGCCGGAAAGGGGATGAGGGGGGTGCACATGGGGCTCAGAATGACCCCCCCAATGGGGGGGTGGACAGCTTGCACTTTGGCTCTCTATATTTTGGTTTCTCATTAAAGTCCCTTTCCTTCCCCCCCCCAAAAAAAACAAACCCTTGTTCTAGGATCTTCTATTTTGGGTCTACATACAAGTTGTGCTATCTGCCAGACTTTGGGGAGTGGATCCATCTTTTTTTTTTTTTTAAAGATTTTATTTATTTATTTGACAGAGAGAGAGAGACAACGAGAGAAGGAACACAGCAGGGGGAGTGGGAGAGGGAGAAGAAGGCTTCCCGCAGAGCAGGGAGCCCGATGCAGGGCTCGATCCCAGGATGCTGGGATCATGACCTGAGCCAAAGGCCAGGTCTGAGCCACCCAGGTGCCCCTTTATGAGAGTTTCTTGCATCATGCTACTTCCTTCCAGATTCTCTCTCTCTCTCTTTTAAAGATTTTATTTATTTATTTGACAGAGAGAGACAACGAGAGAGGGAACGCAGCAGGGGGAGTGGAAGAGGGAGAAGCAGGCTCCCCACTGAGCAGGGAGCCCGATGTGGGGCTCGATCCCAGGATGCTGGGATCATGACCTGAGCTTAAGGCAGACGCTTAACGACTAAGCCACCCACGCGCCCCTGGATCCATATTTTGATGCTCAGTTTCCCTATCTGTATGACAAAGATGCTAATAAGAAGACAAAATATGCTTTCTGGTAGGCAGATTGACAAAGACTGTAAGATAATACTTCTCATATGTATCGCGTCCTTAGCGTAGGCACGGGTTTAAATTCCTTATATGTATTATCCCACTTGATTTCTTAGCCCATGAAGCAGGCTCTTTTATTAATCCCAGTTCATCAGAGAAGAACTTGGGACACAGAAAGGTAAAGGCACCACGTAGGGAAGTCCCAGAGTAAGAAAGTGCTAGCCAGGATTCCAGCTCAGGCACAGCGCCTCTGCATATGCACCCTCCTTTACTCTGCGAACTGCTTTCTCATAGGCATGGCCAAATGTGACTCAGGGTGCCTCCATAGCACATGGACATGTGTTCACTTAATACACTGAGTGCTCCTGAGCTGTACCGACAAGACCCAGGGAGTCGTTCAGAATTGGTTAGAGCCCCAAGTTCATCACTTGCGTGGGGTGAAGGTGGAGCCCTGATGTCATCCCTCACGCCCCCACCGCCACCTGCTGAGCCTGCTCTTTTCTGACCTTTCCCTAGAAACCTAAAGGGCAGATCCATTCTCTTTCCCGCTTTTTCTTGCCTACTATTTCCACACCTCACCCCTACCTTGCTACTCTTAAACATCATCAACCAAACAAATAAAGGAATAC